GAATGAATTATACATAGCATTTTTTACACACGTTTTGTAGTGATATACAACTAGAATATTTTTAACGATTCATACATAATATTAGAAATGTGTTAATACTTAACTAGAAGACAAAAAATGATAATCCTTATAGTGAACTAATCAACTTCTAAAACAAAATGTTAAAAAATATTTTATTCCTTATTCTTTTTTTTTTAATCATAAGTAACATTTTTGCAAGTCTTCATGTTGTGATCTTGTTGTCCACAATTCATGTTGAGTGGATCTCTTTTAAAAAATAATTACTTATTTTAAATACTTTTTTATTCGTAAATTACATAAAACTTGTATCAATGATTAATTAGACAAGTAATTTAATCGTAATAAGTGAAGTGACATAATAAATTGTCAAATGAATTAAATTTGAATTAAAAATGTATTACACTCATATTAAAGTTGTATTAGAAGCGAATTAAACATGAATGCAAAATGTTGCCAACGAAGAGCACTATGTGATTCGTAAATTGAATAACTTGTATTAATAATAAATTAAACAAGTAAATTATGTATTATAAGTGTCTTATAAATTACTTTGATTTGAATCTCTAAGAACACGAGTGATGTTTCGAATATGTATTATACTTATGTTATATATGTATTACAAGTTTTTACATAAATTATTTTGGTTGATATCACTATTAAAAAAGGAGTGAAGTTTGTAATATGTATTATAAATATATTGTTCATGATTTTAATACAATTATGAAATATTTAATACAATTTTAATATAATTGCGATATAGTTCCATAAACTTCACTTTTTTCGAATTTTAAGTTAAATATTTATCCTAAAATCAATTACAAACTTAGCCAAATCCTATTAAAATTGAGATATAAATTCCAAACGACATTTTTAATTATTTGGAGGACTACCTATCCAAACTAATCACAAATTAATAAAATTCAAATGATGAATTCAAACTTTGAAACTTTATAATGACCATCAATGGTGAGATCTTGCTTCTGTAATTTTAAAGATTTGAAAATTTTGCTTAAAAATGTAATTTTCTATAAATTTTTGATCTTTCTATTCGTCATTTCATCTTATTTTTGGATAAAAATAGAATATATGGCTATAAATTGATCTGAGGATTTATTTAGATGAAAAACTCAAAAAGAAGAAGAATAAAAAGAAAAGAAAAAGAGGAGGAACATAAATAAAACTAGAGAAAGAGATGAAGAAGTAAAGAATAACCAAAAAAGAAAAAGAAAAAAGAAAGAAGACAAAAAAATCGAAGAGAAAAGAAAGAAAGAGACAAGACGCAAAAGAGTGAATAGAAGAAGAGGAAAAAGGGTTAAGAAAAAGGCGATAACTGTATAATTTTTAATTCAAAAAAATGTTATATTTAGTTAAAAAAAAAATGTTGACATAGATGATAAATATTTTTATAATATAGCATATTTATGTCATTTATCCTTCAATTTATGTGATACTATTTGATTTGATACAATATTTAAGAATATACTGATTTTTTAAAAATAACGCATATATAATTATCTAACTAAAAGTTAATAATTTAAACAAACAAAACAAAAATGATATTATATAAATTGAATAAATGAAATAATATTCTTTTATTCCACACAATTTTCATGGCCAATGAGATATTTAACTTGTGCAACCTAAACCATAATTCTCGAAAAAATAATGATGAAGAACTAAACAAAATAGCTGGTAAACTGCCTGTTTAAATTTAAAATGATCAATAAATTGTATATAATGCATATGATTCAAATATACAATATACACATAATTATGTATTGTTTGTGTATAATTTATGTATGTGATTAGACAAATAAATCGTTAATTCAATTGACTATTTATAAAAAAAAATTCTAATTTTCTCAGTACAATTATAATATTTCATCCAATAAGAATTGTCCGAAAATAATAAGTAATCTTTCATTTTTAATTATAAATCTTCAATTTATTTTATTTTAAAATATAAAATCGCTTTTATTAAAAATAAGCTTAAATGATACTCCAATAACAATTCAAAAACTTGTGACCTAACAACTCCATGTTCAAATGCAATGAAAGTAAAGAAATTTCCATAATATTTCAATCAAATTTTTAATAAAAGGAAAGACGCTTTTTTTTCTTTCAAAAAGTCATAATCGCCTTTGAGTTGTAGACCCCTTCAAACGACCCTATACTTGTTTGTCTAGACACGATTTTTTTGTTTTATTTATATTTTACCGTTTCAATGTGAGTTAAAATTTGATTATAATTTTTTTTTTTATACCACGAAGTAATAATCTCAATTTTAAATCAGCATCAAGAATATTTACAAATTTTTATAAAAATAAAAAATAAACGCTATCGCTGAAAAGAAATGATAATAAGACCGAAAGTGTCTCAGTAGAATAATACTATTTGGTTTAGTCTACAAGTCAACTCTAATAATTATCTAGTGCAGCAGCAGACCACCGGAAGTTAATGTTCCTATTGGTAAATAAAATTCTCTTACCCAATGAAAACCTAACACGTGTCATGATA